TGAGTGCTTCAAGGAGCGTAATTAGCAGCAGCAGCAGGGCAGGCGCTCCAGCCGAGGTGCAGAACTTAATGGCTTGGTCTTAAGGTTCAGAAAAGGACTAAGCGTGTGGGCAATAAGGAGTCTATGGAGCTGGCAGGAGCCATAGCCTTTCAAGTCAGGAAAGGGCTGGCAGACCCCTGAGGTTTCCTGTGTTTATGGCCCCAACTACAACTGTTCTCAACAGCGCCTGTGGCACCAAGGAGCCAAAGCGCCTCCCCTAGACAGCTAGGCTTAGCCAACTGCCAAAGCCAAGGCCTGAGTTGGAACCATGCAGGGACACAGCAGAAAAGAATGGGCAAGGCAGTGACAGACTCCCGGGATCGTCACACCATACTTTGTGAACTGTATGTATTAAAATGGTCAGTTACTAAAGGCTTCTGATGGAGACTGTTTGGGAGAGAGGGAATGCATTTACAAGTATTAATATAAAAATCAATAGGCTCGATGACTGTGAATATGGTTTACAGACTGTAGAAATTCAGATACAGATGTAATTTTGGTTCATGTCATTTAAATCAACCTAACCTGTAAATGTGTGCAAGACAGAGGGGAGCAAAGTACGAACCGGAGGGTACCTGCCTTAGAGGCTTCATCTCTTCAGTCAGTAGGGAAGCTTCCGCTGAAGGACGAAGCTTGCAACTGTCAGGACTAAAGCTGAGATGCACTAAGCCCCGGGGATTTGTTTTACAGCATGCCTCTCCCAAGAGGCAGATGAGAATGGTCTAACTTTGAGCTCCTTCGTAGTGGGAATCCTCCTCCTAAGATTTTGGGATGTCTTTGGGGTTAAGACAACACCAATTTACAGTAGGGAAAACAAGTAAATGTGTTTCTGCCCAGTTTCCAACCAGGGACCTTTTGCATGTAAGGCGAATGTGCTGACCACTACGCTACGGAAACCACACTCAACTTATGGGATCAGACACTTTCCAGGGAAATCCTAAAACTTGTATACTCCAAGTATTTCGGTTCCAAGTGACAACATTCACCATTTGAACCTCAGTTTTCAAATGTTCATGGAAAACCCTTGGTGGCGAGAGGGTGTGGACATCACAGTCCCTTCTGGCAAAGCGGGCAATCTGTCTGCCAAGGAGAAGCCGTCAAGACTGACTCGGGCAGTGAAAATTGTTGTTGTCTGTTCTAAGAAAACCAAGAGGGAAGCCTAAACTCTTGAGAAGTGTCGTGGCGCCACACCCAGAGCTCACTCCTGAAGCAAGTCCTCCGGAGAAAAGTCCCTGTAGCTCATTTGTGCATCGGACCGTTCACACCTGTTGGCGGTTTGGAAGACTGCTGCAGGAAACGGTGCACAAGTAGCCGATTTCATTCCTGGAATCGCAGGGCCGAGACCAGT